GTGGCACTATTAAGAGGCTTGGCTTTGTTGGAACAGGTGTGGCCTTGTTGAAGGAAGTGTGCCACTGTTGTGAGGGAAGGCCTGGAAGTCTTCTTTGCTCAAGGTTTGCTCTGTGGGACACTCAGTTCACTTCCTGTTGCCTTCTGATCAAGATGTAGCCAGCCCATGTCTACCTGCATACTTCCATGCTCCCCCCCACCTCAATTAAATGCTTTCCTTTGTAAGAGTTGCCGTGGTCATGGTGTCTCTTGACAGCAATAGAAACCCAACTAAAGCATCATCAACACTTTTTTTTTTTTTGAGACAGGATCTCACAGTGTGAGCCTGGCTCACTACCTCTATTTCCTGAGTGCTAGAAATGTAATAGTTAGATTTTAATAATTTAATAGTTAGAATTTATAATTATCAGTACATGAACACCACTTCACATATTTAACACAAATGGCAGAATTAAGAGGCTGGAAAAAATCAATGATCACCCTTAGCTCTGGTGATTGTCTGGAATTGTTTCTCTTTGTTTGAGACAGAGTCTCCTTATCTAAGTTTCCTGTCCTGGAACACAGTGTGAAGACCAGGCTAGCCTCCAACTCCTACTGATCTGAGTACTGAGATTAAGTGTGTACCACCACACCCGACAGTCTCTGGAACTTTTGTATGAATGCTGTGTATGTATATGTGTAGGTGATGGGGTTTGAACTCAGGTCCTCTTGTTAGCATAAACCTTCTTACCCACTGAAGCATCTCGCCAAGCCTTCCCTGACCTCTTCACTAGGCTTTCTGCTGCCACTGCCAGAAACCTTGGGTTTTGTCTGATTTTTGTGTTTGTGTGCTAATCAGGACAATGACCATTCATAAGAAGTCTTTATTTGGGCTGGGCAGTGGTGGTGCACACCTTTAATCCCAGCACTCAGGAGGCAGAGGCAGTTGGATCTCTGTGAGTTTTGAGGCCAGCTTGGTCTACAGAGCGAGTTCCAGGACAGGCTCCAAAGCTACAGAGAAACCCTGTCTCGGAAAACAAAAAAAAAAGTCTTTATTTTGGCTTCATGTTGTAAACTAGAGGTTGAGTAAACAGAGTAGCCTCCCACACTAAAAGACAACAACATCACGCAGCCTGCTGTATAGCTTGAAGAAGGGTGTGGCACACTTTGGTCCAATTATAGCCTTGTATATGCTACCAATCGTAGGCCTTAAATTCCACCAATTTCAGGCTTTTTATTGAGTCACTGGAGAGATACTTTTTCCCCCTTCCCTCCCCTGTGCTGAAAGAGAATTGCTGCAAGGTCAGTAGAGTTATGTAGACTTTAGAGGATTGTCTTGGTGAGCAGGGAGTTCCCCAAAGCCCATACAAGCTGCTTGAGGCCAGCCTAATCTACAGAGTGAGCTCCAGGTCAGCCAGGGCTAAACAGAGAAACCCTGCCTCAGAAACAAAGCAACAAACAAAGATCCCAAGGAGCTAGTGAGCACATTAAGACAGGACATTTCACTTGGCTTTTATTCTAATGCATGTGGTAACTGTATCTTTTCCCCATTGATTGGGGGCTTGTCTGGCCTCACAAGCTTTCAAGATTTACTAGTTCTTTTTATTTGTTTTTTTTTTTTTTAAATCAGTCTATAGGAAATGAGGGAAAGTGGAAAAGGGTTGTCCTCCCATTAAGTTACTTAAGCTCCAAGAACGCTGCAGGGGGTTTTATGGTTTTACAGGTTGGGAAAAGGGTATTAAAACATTTTCATAAAGGTTTTACAAGGTGGTTTTGCATAAAAGTCTTACTAGGTGAACTGGGCTAATGGCACACAACTTAAACCCCAGCACTCAGGAGTTAGAAGCAGAAAGACCTCTGAGTTTGAGGCCAACCTGATCTATAGAGTGAGTTCCAGGACAGCCAGGACTACACAGAGAAACTATGTCTCAGAAAGAGAAAAAAAAATTGTCTTAGAAGGTAAACAAGGGGCTGGAGAGATGGCTCAGAGGTTAAGAGAACTGACTGCTGTTCCGGAGGTCCTGAGTTCAATTCCAGCAACCACATGATGGCTCACACCCATCTATAATGAGATCTGGTGCCCAGAACACTATATACATAATAAATAAATTTAAAAAAATAAAAAAAGAAAGTGAACAATAAAAGACCTGAATTTCTTGTTAGAAACAAGATTTTATTGGTGTTGTATAACTGGTGATTTCTCTCCTTCCTGCCAGTTCCCAAATAACTACTCTGAGGCTTAATTTTAATACAGATTGTTTGGCCAATTAGCTCAGGCTTATTACTAACTAGCTTTTACAACTTAAATTATTCCATTTCTATTCTATATTTTACCTCAAGGCTCATGACTTGTTACCTCACATCTTGCTTCTCCAGGGGCTGTTGGCATCTCCCCAATTCCACTTTCTTTCTCCCTGTATATCTGTTTGAATTTCCTACCTGGTTATATTCTGCCTGTCTACTGGCCAAATCAGGTTCTTTATTAACCAATGGTAATAAAACATATTCACAGCATACAGAGAGACATCCCACATTGGGGTTAGAAAGAGAAGACTAATAACTGCATCTTCTAAAGTCTATAAAAATTACAAGATAGATGGGAATGGAGAGATGGTACAGTAGATACTTGTTGCTCTTATAGAGGACCCAGGCTTGGTTCCCAGTACCTATATGGTGGCTCACAACTATCTGTAACTTCAATTCCAAGGGATCTGGTACCCTCTTTTGACATCCACAGGCACCAGGCACATCTGCAGTACATATACATTTGAGCAAAACATTTATATAATTAACGCACACACATGAGTAGTTGCCACAATACTAATTCTGAATTTAGATGGACAAGGCTTTAAGCAATTCAGGTAGCAGTGATGTCACTTATGAATTTGTTAGAAATGAGGAATGCAGAGTTGAGGGTATGGCACAGCTGGAGAGCATCTATTTCATTTGTGCAAGGACCATGGTTCAATGCTCAACACCAAAAAAGAAAAAAAAAGTAAATACAACCATGTGGGATGGGTTCTGGCCTCCTTCTCTGGCCTCCTTCAACCAGAGAATCCTTGGTTGGGCCCAGAAAACTTAAAACACACACTCACTATGGGGCATGGGCTGAACTAAGGTTTGAAAAGCACCGAGGTGAGGTAAATCTCCAGGGTACTCACTGCAGTTGCTCTTCCATGACGCCCCCCTCACCTTGAACCTTAAGCTGAGATTTACTTCTTGGAATTCCCATCACCACCCGTTCCTAGTTAGTTTCTGGCAATTAACCTTGTAGCTAGGTTTTAACTGATAGGGTTCAGGGTTCTCTGGCAACTGAAGGATAATTTAGTTTTCTGAAAGTGCCTGGTCTATGGCTTGCTTCCTTGTTTGTGGAGACTCACAGAGTTCAATGTTCACTCTGAGCATTTACGATTGAGGTGGCTTGTGGGATAAGGGAATCAGGGCTCTGGGGGCTAAAGAGTTTCTAGTTTCAGCTGCTTATCTATATGACTTTGGGCAAACTATTCTGCCTCTTTGGACTTCAGTTTATCCCTCCATAAAATCATAACATAATGATACTGATTTCATAGGAGGTAGGAGTGAAAGAACCCGAGGAACACATTCTTGGCAGTGCTTGCTACAAGACAGATCTCATTAGAAACTGGCATTTATTTATTTTTCTTTTGCCATGACTTTTTCCCCTTTTCCCCATGGGGAAAAAGGGGGAACTTCTTGGTTGGATACTGCATTCAAACTGGTCTTTAAAATCACGAAAATTCTCTTGGTTCAACACCCAAGTGCTGGTTGAGATTACAGTTGTGAAATACCAGCTCCCCTCCCCCACAGCCCTATTCAAAAGAGACTGGGGGTTGGTGGGGTCTCATGTGGCTCAGGTTGGCCTTGAACTTGCTGGCAGCAGAGGAGGAGAGCGAACTCCTAATCCTTCAGTCTCTACCCTCCTGTGCTGGAATTACAGGGTTGCAATTTAAGGATATCTTAAGGCCCCACATTTTCTCTGATAAAAAGTGAAGGTAACTTTAAGACCTAAAGCAAAGAAGGATGGAGACCGTGGAGGAGCATCAAAAAAGAGATTGGGATTAACAAATCTGTTTATGGTGAAATGGGTGGTAGTTAGAATCAGTTCGGATGAATGGCACAGCCGATCGGCTGGGACACAGGCTCTGGGAGTGAAAATCAGAACTGTATCAACTGGCTGAGAGCCAGGATTTGAATCTATTGGACTAGGAGGAAAGTTTCCAGTAGGGAGAAACTAGCCCGAAGTTGGGGTGTGGCCGTGGCAGTGTCAAACCTGCTGCTGCAACAAGCTGGGCGGGGCTCAGGCTGCAGGTGAGAGGGCGTGACCAGAACGGGTGGGCGTGGCCAAGGCGAGCGGGACGAGCCGAAGCTAGGCCCCACCTGAGGGTGCCCGGGTTCCTGCGGCGGCGGAGTGGGCGGGAAGGCGAGATGGGCGGGGAGGAGGCCAGGCCTGCCGGAGAGGCGGGCTGGGTTGCTGGGAGGACCCGGGGACGGAAGAGGGTGGCCGTAGGCCGGGCCCCGCCCCGGGGCTGCTTCCCAG